TCGTTTCTAAGGTGACTCAGGTAACTTGGTTTAGTCCATGACCTCTTGTTGGCTTGAACTTACATTTAGTTTGATCAAATGTCCAGGACAAGTTTTGGGCGTGGACAAGCTGGCTGATAATGGCGTTCAGGTATTCAGGTCAAGGATTCACTTGGACGATCATTTTTTAAGTTTGTTCAGTTACAAAGACTTACTGTACAAGTGGTGACCTTTGTTTGTCACTTCGAAGAGCCGATTCGGTCAGATAGTTTCACGAGATTTTTATTGCGTCCAGAAAGTGATTTATTTGGCGAGAAACCTTCAAAGGTACTCATTGACTTCTTTGCCGCGTGTCTGGTTGCAGTTTCGGTTTTATCTGAAGACCTGAAGTCTTTCAGGACTTATACAGATTTATGTTTCAGCTCAACCAGGTTAGTTGACATAAATCTCCGGTCAAAGGTCTCAAGCAGGATTTTGGAGCCTTTGGTATCCAATGGACGATAAGTACATTATGACAACCTCCATAAGGTTTTTCAATCAGGTATAAGTCTCTTTTTTGACGTTACCAGTGCATGGAACTTGGATAGGAACAAGCTTAATTTCGCCGAGACATGGGACTCCAAGAAATGGAAATATATATCTAAGAGCTTACAACAATCTTTCAAGAAGTCTAGTTTTTTTCCAAGTTTCAGAAAGCTTGCTTTCCCAAGGCTTGTAAAAGTCGAGTGTGTCCTCTCTACATCCAGCTCTCGAGCTTCTCTCTGTGCAGCTCCTCGAAGGAGAAATCCTCGGCGACGGGCGGAAACAGGCCATCCCTGCTGGGTCTCGATTTGGTCTCCCAGCCGAGAATCCCTGTGAATGCCTCATGAACATCGTAAAGCACGGACTGACGGGTTGTTGGAACTTCCCTGCAATGCCCAATATACTTCTTGTAAGCACACCATATAGGTGTGTCTGGAGGCTTTGCAATGTCATAGTCTTCCGGCCGCATGTGAATAAGCTTGCACTTCCGCTCCCTGAGTTCCACAAGACAAAAAACAGTCGAGATCATCTGCAGATTTGGAATCCGATCACGTACCACAAACTGTCATGAGTGTAGCATCTCAAGGTCTGTTCGATCAGAGATGGGATTCGCTCCTTTGAGAAGCCACCACCCAACACCTGCGTGATGCAGACACGAAGATGATGTAAGCGCACACTCACAGTAAAGCATGAAGAATTCACTACCTCCTCCTCCTCCTGCTCTGCAACATCGTGCGTACCGAGCCGGCCATCTAAACAAGCTCTCAGAGTTTGAGAAAGATAAAAAAGGAGGCAACAACTTACACGTCAAGTCGTGGTCGTAATAGATTCGGAGGTCATAGCGTCCAAGCCAGATGCGAGCGTGCTGCATACAGGTCCCAATGGCGTGGTGGTGCGGCAGCACAGACAGGGGTGGCCTCTCTGCAACAAGCGATCTCAGAAGTTTGCTGTTCTCGATACCTTGGAGCAGCAGGACAAGTTCCTTGACCAGCAGGGGCATAGAGGGCATTTCATCGGGAAACCTACGCTGCAGAGGTGGCTTGAGCGGATGTCGAGCAAGCTGCGCATAAGCCCGTCGAACTCCGTCGTGTGCATGCGGAGTCGACAGCATGTTCCACCCCTGTTGTTGCAAGTCAAAAGAATGAGAACCGGGAAAGTTGCAAACCAGTGTTGTTACCAGCCTGTCCACCGGGAGTGTGAGAAAGAAGTCGGCCTTGAGAATCTTGGAAACCAAGCCAAAGAGCTTTGGGACAGCTGCAACGCCATAACGGGAGGGCTTTTGTGTGTTCCCTGACTGTGTTTTACTCGTCACCTTTTCGCGCCCTGCAAGTAGAGCCGGTGAGACAGAAAACCAGAGCAAACAGATGATTTCTTACATCTGAATTCCCCATTGGAAGGCATCCGATAAGGGGGTGGAGCAGAGAAATTCATACCGATAGTGTTGCGTGCCGGTATCTCGGAACTCACTGCCATTCCAACAAAGAAGAAATGAAAAGCGAAAAGAACATGAGTTTTGTATGACAAGCACAAACCTTGGATGTTTCTGCTTTCGCAAAACTTTGCCCAAAGTAGCTCCAAGTGCTCGCTCACCTCCTCATCTTGCTTAGCTGCATCCAGCGACAAAAGCCTCTGGATTCCAGCTGACGAGAGCAGCTCCTGGCGGGCGAAATCAACCATGCAATCCAGCTGCGCTGCGCCACCCTCCCATCCCAGCGTCGCAGCGCACGCACTCCTCTCGGCACTAGAGGCGCAGAGGCGAGCAATGTAGCAAACTGCAAGCACCAGGAACAGCGTCTCGTCCACCTCGGCGGAGTCCCAGCTTTGCAGCATGTATTCCATGCACCGGGCTTCATGCACGTCCAGCGCCGCGGCCTCCTCCTGGTTGGGGCGGGCAGACTTTGCGACAAACTCGGACACCGTGAGGAGCTTTGCAGCGCTCTCTCTGCATCGTGTGAGAGCTTGATGCAAGTCTCCTTGTTCGTGGTGGTGACCTAGCTGGGTGGCAAGCGATGATAGATTCCTACGAAGAACTCGACTGCCCAACCTGGAAAGCATCTCGTGACCTAACACAAAGGGCTCCCAACAAGATGTGATCTTCCTTTCAATGAAAATCTTGCAGAGACCCCGCCAAAATATTTTGCTTTGAGTGGTAAAACCCTAGCTAGAACTATAGCAGAGATTAGGGTTCTTGCGGCAATGGGGGGGAAGAAGGGGAGCCAGGTGCTTGGCAAGGCGCTGATCAAGCGGCGGAACGCGGACAAGCAGCAGCATCATCATCGCGATGACAAGGCTGGAGCGTCGGCACTGCAATCCGTGATGGAATTCACGGATTTGCAAGTGGTGCTCGAGCAGGCGGAAGAGGCCGAGCGCATTTTCTCCGATGCAAATCCGCCGCCCCAGCTTGTGTCAAGGTGAGTGCCATACATTTGTTTTTTCCTTTCTAAGCTCCAAGTAACTTGTGGCTCTCGCTCGAATTTCCCAGAGAAGAGAGCTCCAGCGCGAGCTACGATGAGGATAAGCGGAGAGAGGAGCTCGAGAACGAGTCCAGTCTCACTGTTCCTCGCAGGTTTGTACGCAGGATTTTTCCCTAGATTTTGGAAGATTGATTTTTCTCGCCTTGTGTAGGCCGAAATGGCACAAGAAGATGACCGTGGAGGAGCTTGACACCCAGGAAAGGCAAGCGTTTCTAGAATGGCGTCGGAACCTCGCACGGTATGCTCACTGCATCACAAAAACGTTTTTTTTTCTCTTAAAGATGATGGTGATCTAGGCTGGAGGAGAACGAGAAGCTTGTTATCACTCCGTTTGAGAAAAATCTCGAGGTGTGGAGACAATTATGGCGTGTGATCGAACGATGCGACCTGGTAAGTTGTGATGATATGGTTAAGCTTCAAGCATAAATCTCGGTCCTTTTGTAGGTCGTAATGGTGGTGGATGCTAGAAACCCACTATTTTATCGTTGTCCAGACCTGGAGGTAACTTGGAATGCAAGAAAAACTTCGAGTGCTTCTTTGCAAGGAAAACTTATGTTCGTGATTTACAGGCCTACGTCAAGGAGATTGATGAAAACAAGACAACGCTGTTGCTCTTGAATAAATCTGATCTACTGCCCGTCGCAATAAGGTCTGCATTCAATTCTGTTTCAGAACAAACTCTTAGGCTTGCTTCTTTTCTTCCAGAAAAAAATGGGCAAGCTACTTTGACGAGCTGGGACTGGATTATATCTTCTGGTCTGCGAAAACCGCTACAGCAAAACTTGAAGGCAAGGACGATGACCAGGACCTCGATGAAGCAGACGATGGTGATGTTCCGGTTCTAGGCAGGGAAGAACTTCTAGCCTCATTACAAGTTCGAGCCGAGGGTATCCGCCAGAGACGAAGCGCGGGACAGGAGGAAAAAGCCGACTCGAGCTTTGACACGTCTTCGTCGGTGATGGATACGGAGAAGCGAGTTGCAGTCGGGTTTGTGGGGTATCCAAACGTTGGAAAGAGCTCTACGATCAACGTTTTGGTAGGAGAGAAGCGCACAGGTGTGACTTCAACGCCTGGAAAGACGAAGCATTTCCAAACTTTGATTATCAACGACAAGCTGATGCTCTGTGACTGTCCGGGATTGGTTTTTCCTTCGTTTACGAGCTCCAAGGCTGACATGGTTGCTGCTGGCGTCCTACCAGTTGATAAGATGACAGACTACAGGGGTCCGATTCAGGTTATCGCGAATCAAATCCCACGGAGGCAGCTGGAAGAGACTTACGGCTTGCTACTGCCGAAGCCAAAGCCGTACGAGGATCAAAACAGGCCGCCTACCGCTGCCGAGCTTCTCAAGTCCTACGCTCAGTCGCGCGGCTATGTAGCTTCGAGAGGTCTTCCAGACGAGACACGATCTGCTCGGCAGATGCTCAAGGACTACCTCAATGGTAAGCTTTTATACTGCCATACTCCGCCGGACGACGACACCACAAGCGACGATGAAAGCAACGACGATGATGAAGAAGCTGTTGATGAGGGTGGTGTTCACAGTGACGATGTTGACGATCTCTCAGGAGAAGAGGACGAAGAATACGAAGAAAGAGAAGAGGAAGAGGAAGAAGGATCGAAAACAACTACAGGTACTGGTGAATCCAATCTCAAAGCTCGACTGGATGGAATTTTCAGGGACGTCGACTTGAACGCTAGCAAGAGCCAGGGAGCCAAGGCTGTGAAGCCGAAGAAGGCCCTTCACAAGATGCAGAAGAAAGCTCCCAGGAAGAAAGACCGCTCGTGGAGAGTGAAAGACGACGAGAGCGACGGCATGGCTCGCGTGAAAGGGATATCAGTCTCCGTGAGCTATGGAGCAGCTCGCTAGCTTGCTACATCCAGTCGCAGCAAGTCCATCAAGATGGTGCTGGCCAGATACGAAGCAAAGGATCCAAAGTTTCGCTTCGCTGTGTCTCGCGCCATGGAATGAAACACAAGCTTTGTGTAGCCTTCGTGAGATCTTGGAGAGAGCTGGATGTAGAGCTACACAGCATCCTCGTCCGTGGCCGAGAGTCCCAGCAAGTTCATCAAGTGAAAACTCCGTCCATGGTGCTGGCCGAAGATCGAAGCAAAGGATCCAAAGTTTTGTTCGGGCATTCTCTCCAGAAGCTTTTCGGCCTCCTCGAGCTCCCCGTTCGTGACAAACGTTCCAAGCAAGGCGTTCCAGGCAACAACAGTGCGTTCTTCCATGGTGTCAAACAGCCTCTTAGCGTGCTGCGTCTGGCCGTTTCGTCCAAACGCGGCCACCATAGCCGTGCTCGAGATGGTGTTAAACTCCGGCATGGAATCAAACAGAATCTTTGCGGCTTCAATGTACCCCTTGCCGCTGTAAGCTTGCAGCATGAGAGTATATGCCGCTAAGTTCCTCTGTGGCATGGAATCAAATAGTTCTTTTACTCCGTACATATGCCCATTCCGGGCATATGCTCCTAAAAGTACGTTCCACGACACCACGTCCGTTTGAGGCATCAAATCGAATGTCCGTTTTGCCCCGTACATGTGACCGGACATGGAATATGCCGTCAGCATGGTGCTCCAGGACACAACGGTACGCTCGCACATTCCGTCAAACACGATCTTCGCCTCTTCCAGATGCCCACTTTGGGCATATGCTGCCAGCATGGCATTCCACGTGAGCACGTTATGCTCCACGGCGCTTTCAAAGCAACGACGTGCATCGTCTGCGTGACCGCGCTCCCCAAAAGCGCTTACCATTGTCGTCCACGTCACCACGTTCCACGAGGGCATCCTGGTGAATAGAGTTTTAAGGTCTTCCAGATACCCGATTTGGGAATATCCTGACAAGAGGGCATTCCAAGATACTATGTCTCTATTAGGCATATAATCGAAAATTTGCTTGGCTTGGCATATACGAAGCTCTTGAGAGTAGGATGTGAGGAGTGTGTTCCAGGAAAAGAGATCTGGGTCGGGAATTAGGTCAAAAATCTCTTGCGCGTCTTGCAAATGCCCGCGCGTGGCATAGGCGCGGAGCATTGTCGTCCAGGAGACCTTGTCCTTGCAGGGATTGCGATCGAAGACCTCCTTGGCACCGGCGAGATCGTCGTTGCGCGCGTGGGCGCCCAGCAAAATATTCCACGAGAAATCGTTTGGATCCGGCATGGCATCGAAGACGCCGCGTGCGTCGTGGAGCGCGCCGCAGCTGCCATACATCTGGATGAGGAGATTGGCCAGGAATTTGTCCCCGGCGTGATCGCTCTCCAGGATCCGAGCGTGGAGTGATCTCCCCTGCGCTAGACTCCTGCAAGATCTCACCGCCGCAATCAGGAGCTCGCGGCTCTCGATCCAGCAGGGATCGCCACCATCGCGCCGATTGGCGATCTTGAGAGGCTGGCAAGTGCTCGCGCTCATCTCTCTCGCTGAATTTCTCTCACATTTTCTTGGAATTTTTCTAGGGTTCTAAGGCCTGGGGGTTTAGGGTTTTACGCGAGGAGGAAGAAGGGACGCCCTCTCGCGCCGCCCAATGTGGAACGCGATCCTACGTCTCCACTCCCGGACCAGACCGAGAAGAAGCTCGCACCTCGCCAGGTACATTTCCTACACACCGATCCTCCGCAAGGAAGAGAACCTCCAGCAGGCCTATGCGGATCTCATCCGCTACTTCACCTTCACGCGCGATCTCGAGTACGCGCGCAAGCTTCACGGCAAGATCGTCGACCGGGGGCTGGGAAAGGATCGCTACTTGCTCAATCTCATCACCGAGATGTATGGCAAATGCGGGAGCTTCGACGAGGCAAAGCAGGTGTTTGACAGGATGGCGATCCGGGACCAGATGTCCTGGGCAGCGATGATCACTGCCGGGGCCGAGAGTGATGATCGCTACGAAGAAGGCCTCGACTACTACCGCCGGATGCTGCTCGAGGGTGGCATGCTTCCCGACGCTCACATCCTCAGCTCCGTGCTGTGCTGCGTGGAGACGCTCCCGGAGGCCCGGAAGATCCACGACCAGGTGGTTTCCTCCGGCTTGTACGTGGACGTGGTGGTGATGACCGGGCTCATCAACGCATACCGGCGGTGTGGCAGGCTCGATCTCGCGGGAGAAGTTTTCGACCGGGTGGAGTTTAAGGATATGGTGCTGTGGACGTCGATGCTCTCAGCTTACTCCCACTCCACCGACGAGGCCGTGGAGGGCTTGAGGATCTTCTGGAAGATGGAGCTCGAGGGGATCCGGCCGGACAAAGTTACGTTCACGAGTCTCATCACTGCCACCGGGAATGCGCTGTGCGGATGCTACGCCAAGCTCGTCGACGACAGGGTCCGCGCTCACGGGCTCGAGAAGGACGTGACGATAGCCTCCGCGATGCTCTACATGCACGGGAAGAGTGGCAACTTGGAGGAAGCGAGGAAAGTTTTCGAGTCCATGGCGGAGAAGAACCTCGTAACTTGGAACTCGATGATCGCCGCGTGCTCCTTCTACGGACAAAGCCGCGACGCTCTCCAGCTCTTTCGGACGATGGACCATGAAGGCGTGGTGCCGGATCACATCACCTTTGCGAGCGTCCTCGACGCTTGCGCGGATATGGCAACGGCCTCGGCCGGGAGGGCCGTCCACGATCGCGTCCTCGCGGCCGGACTCCAGGCGGACCATGTGATCGTGAGCGCGCTTCTCAATCTCTACGGGAAGTGTGGTAAGGTGGGCGATGCGAGGAAGATCTTCGACGAGTGCTGGAAGAACCTCTCGTGCTGGAACTCGATGCTGACGGCGTATGCCCAGAACGGGCATATCAGGGAGACGCTGGCGCTCTTCCTGGATATGTGCCATCAAGGGGTGGTGCCGGACGAGATAACTTTCACGGTGCTGGTCGGCGGTTGTGGGCATGCTGGGAAGGTGGACGCTGGCAGGGACGTGTTCCGGCTGTTCCAGGACGACTACCAGGTTGAGGCATTGGTGGATCACTATGGTTGCATGGTAGACGTGCTGGGACGCAATGGGAAGCTACAGGAAGCCGAGGAGCTCATCGAGAGCATGCCGTTCTATCCGGATCTCGTGGCCTGGACGGCAGTTCTTCGGGCTTGCAAGAACGCGAAGGACGTGAAGAGGGGGTCCCGCTTGGCGCGAGCGGCTCTAGAGACGTATCCAGAGAAGTCGGGGCCGTATGTTATGCTGAGCCAGATCGAGGCTGAGATCCAGGAGCTGGAGAAAAAAGTGGCCGAGAAGAATGGCTGTGAAGAGGAGAAGAAGGCGAACAGTTTCTTCGATTGTTTGCAACCGGCAGTTCTGTGTGCTTGCGCTAATCGTTAGCCGTGGAAGAGCTTGGAGATTTGGAAGGAGATCCAGAGTCCCCATATGGATCTTCCTTGTGATGGACTTTGCCAAGCTCTTGGTACGTACGTACAACTTTTCCACAGATCGTGTAGCTTTTTCTCACTGTTTTTTCTTCTTCTAAAAGTCTTTTGAGCGGTACAAGCTTCATGTCTTTTTAAGCTTTCTAGGCATAAAAAGGACTCTCAAACAATGAAAGAGCTTAACATTGTGACTGTGAAATATGTAACAAACGAAGACAATGAAGCAAAGTAGCCAGAAGACAGGAAACTTCCTTTTACTTCATTCTCAATACACTCGGGCAATGGCCTCATAGATTCTTGCATCTAATGCATCTTGAATCTCCACGGGGATATACGCCAATCGTGTCCGAAAAGCAAATTGATAGACTTGTGATAACGTTGCCAGACACCTAGAACAAACAAAAAATGAGAGAGTGTAGAAAGAATGAATCATAACTTCTCCACATTGGCAAACATATGCTGGTTCGAGGCAATGTGAATATTTTCAGGAAGAGTATGGTGTTGACTATGGTTTACCCTTGAGCCACCAAGATCACAATGACGTGTGCGATCCATGACAATGACTTTGGGCTCCTGCTCATGTCATGCTCACCAATCGTCACCTGGGAAGTTGATTGAGATAGCAAAGCTATTGGGCGCTAGGGGCGTGCTGCGAATTGTCTATGCCTCGCTGAAACCCACATCAAGCTTGCTCGAAGGTTGGAGGGATGCTGCCAGCAACAATGAGGCATGGTGACTAGCTATTAGCCTTAAAATAACAATTAATATTTAAAATTAAGCCTTTGTGAGTGCATGGAATATGGAAAGGGAATACAGAAATGTGCATCCGAATTAGCCCAAAAACCCTAACTTATATACAGAAGCGAGTGGTCCGGATTGAAACCAATCCGACGGCTACCAAAATCCCACTACGCTAATATTAGTATACGGCATCGTAGCCGTACACTTGGCCCTCACATCATCCCCTCCTCTCGGAATAATGGAAGGCCGTCAGGGTTCTCTTGTAGATGGGCCGGGATCTGGAGGAACGTCAGGAGGAGGCATCGGTGGATCTGTAGACGGTATTAACTGCTCCTGATCCCTTTGTATGAAGCATTTTAACCGCTGCACATGCACAATCTCCGGAGGATCGGCCTGCTGAACGTCATGCCGAACCTCATAAACTTGTGGTCCAACTTGCCGCAACACCCGATACGGTCCTTTCCACTGCGCAAGGAGCCCTTTAGATAAACCACGTACCGTAAGATGGGGAAAACGGACTAACACCAAATCATCCACTTTGTACTCCGCAGGTGGACGATGATGGGAATTGTAGCGCCGTTGTTGTCCCACTTGTATGCGGCCTAAGTGTTCAGCAGACTCTGCTCGGACAAGTGGAAGAATGTTTGTCAAATATTGATCCCATGACCTAGCATCAGGAGCTCGTGGCAATCGCGAAGGTAAACCCAGCTCTGTTGGTAATATTGGATCATGACCATATAGAAGTTTATATGGTGAAGCACCAACAGAACTCTGCACCCCTGTGATATAAGCATACCGAAGAGACGGCAAATAACCATCCCAATCCGAATGTTGAAAGTTCACATACTTCGCAATCATCCCTTTGAATGTCCGAACGAGCCGTTCCACCAGAACGTCTGATTGTGGATGATAAGCACTCGTAAAAGTGTGGCGTATCTCCAACCGAGATGTCAAAACATGAAATACCTCAGCCATAAATGCAGGACCATTATCCGAAAGAATTCGCTCTGGACAAGAATGCTGGAACACCACTCGATTGAGGAGGAAGTATCCAACAGCAGTTGCAGAGGCACTAGCAAGAGCACCAACTTCCACCCAACGAGTCAAGTAGTCAGAAGCAATAATAACATACTCATTGCCAGCAGTCAATCGTGGAAAAGGTCCCATAAGATCAAACGCCACCAACTCAAACGGACGAGAAACTGCAATTGACTCCAACCGTCCTTCCGCAGCACAAGGGGGAGTATTACGAGCTTGGCACCAAACGCAGCTATGCACATACCGGATAATATCACGTCGCATCTCTGGCCAATAGAAAGATCTGCGCAGCTTCTCGGTGACACGACGGTGTCCCATATGCCCACCTAGAATAGGAGAATCATGGTAGGCATGGAGAAACCACGGAATAAACACCGAAGGCACCACCAGCCGTAAATGATCATCAGGATCCGTCCCCACAAAATAAAGAAGGCCATCTTCAAGGCGATATTGAGAATGTAAATGCCGAAAAGGCAAGTCATCAGCAAGTGATGCAGGATTCTCAAACCTATCTCGAAGCCTTCGAATCCACGGCTCAATCTTTTGAGCCTCGCGAACCTCATCCAGAGAAGGTAAATCTTGCTCTACGCCCTGTGGACACTGAACGTCAAGGACAGCAACCGCCGACGGCACAGAATCCTCATCTAGAAAATCCATAGATGCTGGAACAACAGGTTCGTCAGAAACATGAGAAGTGAGTGGAGAAGGAAGAGGAGCTCAAGAAAGGGCATCAGCATCAGCCATAGAACTCCCTGGGCGATGAACAACATCGAAATCATATATCTGAAGCTTCAAAGCCCATCGAGTCGTACGACCAACCAGGTTCTTCCGCTTCAATAATGAAGTAACAGCAGCATGGTCACCTTCAAGTAACGTCCGAGAACCATGTAGATATGCATGAAGTTTCTCGAAACCCCAGACTGCTGCTAAACACTCCTTCTCCGTTGTGGAGTAGTTCATCTCCGCTGGTTGTAATGTACGGCTTATGTATGCAATGGGATGGCACTGACCAGGCACACTCGAGCTCTCTTGCATCAACACACCTCCAAGACCAATGTCAGAAGCATCCACGTGCAAAATAAAAGGTCGAGTGTAGTCAGGATATGCCAAAACCGGAGGAGTCGTCAATAGCTCTTTGAGATTCACGAACGCCCGCTCACAATCGGGAGACCAGATGAAAGATGACGTTGATGACTTCAGCAACGCTCGCAATGGTGTAGTGCGATCGGAAAGATGATCCACAAAACGACCGAGATACTGCACCTTACCCAAAAAGCGTTGCACAT